GTGAGACTGTAGTCCATGATGCTAGAGTCTCCTTCGATGGCATCTATGTGGGCCTGTAGCCGAGAGATAGAACTTGAGAGCTCTGATGGGACATAAGAGTCTATCTGGGTGATCCACTGTTGGTCCCACTGCCGGGATTGTATAGTGTCTATGACCCAATGGTCCCATTGTAGTAGATTGGTTTTAGGCCACAAATTCTGGAAGTGATCTTATTGTTATAGAAGTCCAATGTTGATCATGTGTAAGACTAAAATAGTCTTACTATTGCTGCTGTAGCCATGGCTAGCAGAAACAATATTTTCCTGGCTTTTTGAAGTAAGATAGCCTTCGTCATGGGTTCGTAAGGTTATGTTAACAGTGCCGATAGTACCACAAATAGATTCTACTTGGGGAAGATATGAGGGGTCCTAAAATCTTCTTGTAGAAAGGATTTAATTAATCTGTTGAGAGTGTGATGGTTTCCAATCGATAATCCATCATGTTGAAGTACAGAATGAAGGGCTGATCTGTAACCTTCTATCGCCACGTGTCTGAATTTAATGTCTTGACGTAGATGAAGAAGGAATCAATCCCTATCATAGGGATTGATGCAGCATTATCAATAATGCCTAGTCACCTTCTCCACTGGACAAACGTGTCCTATCTGTTGTCATATAAAAGGGAGGATGATGGTCGCCACGATATTGCCACAGAATCCGAGGCAAGCTCAGAGTAACTGGATGTTTGCATCTTTTGAGCAATAACTTCCAGGCGGTTTCATGTAGGCTGGGCAGATTTTCGTGGAATATGCTGAACCTGGGCTGTCGTAGCAGGTCCCTACAAAGTGGTAATTGTATGGGTTCCTCCATTAGTAGCTTTAATAGTATTATAACACAATCTGTCTCCTCCACCTTGTGGATGACCTTGTCTAGGAGAGACCATGGTTAGAATGCGTAGCCAAATAGATTCATCCAATCCATCAAAGAGCGTCGATCTGGTGAGTTGGTGGTTCTGGCAGGTGGCAAATAGATCAATGTGTGGCACGTCCCATATCTTGGTTATCCAGCTGGAGATCTGTGGATGTAATGTCCATTCTGTTGCCACTATTCTCCCCCGACATGAGAGGTTGTTGGCCAGTATATTCAGTTTCCCAGGTATATGTCTCGCTTCCATCAGGCATTTGAAGGAGTCTGCAAAGGCAAACAATCATTTAGTCTCCGTCATCAGGGAGTTGCATCTGGTTCCTCCCTGCTTCTGAATATATGCCACTACTGTGGTGTTGTCCGTGGCTATGAGAATTGATGATAGATGAAGTAGTGTTTTACATTCCAGAATGGCGTAACATATGGCCTTCATTTCCATGCAGTTGATATGAAGGTTTTTCTCCTCTGTGTTCAACGATCCCTGTACTGTGAGATCGTCCATATGAGCTCTCCATCCCGAACCTGATGTGTCTGTAAATAGATGATGATGTTCTGGCGTCGGATAAGTCAGAGGGATGCCACTTATAACATGTTCTCTGTGATCAACCAATGGAGGTCTTATAGCAAAGCGGGAGGTAACTGAGACTGGAACTCTAGGCTCTTCAATCGTATAGAGTCTACCCATATCTGTAGAGGATGTAGCCTCAGCCTTCCTCTAAGGTCATATCCTGCAGAGTTGTCAAGTTGCCTGGCAGAGACATCCACCACCTCAGCGACTTGCTGGGTTGACTTGAGATTGATTAAATCATCTTTATAGTCTTGTCAACTCGATCCTCTGGTGGACATAGATATCCCCTGTCTAGCTGGAATCTTGCTCCGATGTATGTAACGTCTTGGACCGGAGTGGTCTCTGACTTGACTGGGCTGACTAGGAAACCTAGGTAAGTCATAAGTTGGACCAAGTGGTTCGGCGTAACTTGCTTCCAATTTTCAGCGTATGACAGACGGCGCCATCCCACTGGGCCCAGTGTCGGCGTTATGTTGAAAAACAGTAGGCTTAAATCACAATCCATAGACATAACCAGGTCGAAAGGGTCTATAACGTCGGAGGGGGTTGTAAGGAAGTCAGAATTGTTTTTCTCCTCTGCCGCTTGATCTTCCACAGCAGTTATATCCCCTTGGCTGGCGAAAAGAGTCCTGTGAAATTTGTGGCTTGTCATACCTCCACCTCGGTAGGAATGAATCCTTCACGGAGGGGACAAACTTCTTCTTTGGAGGCTGTTTGGACGCAGATGACTTATGGTCCCAGAGTCGCTTGTGAGTGTGTGATGACTCATGTGCTCTTGCCGCAAGGTTGAAGTCTGGGAACGCTCCTGCTTGATTTCATCTATCATAATTCTGCTTGCCCTTGAAAGTTGTAGTTGCTGACTTTGTGGTGTTCTTCCCATGTACAGTAGGAAAATAGTCCCCGATGTCTCATGGCAGTAAAAGTTCCCATTTGGTGAGTAATTAGCTCCATCACATCCTGGAACTTGCTCTGTATCAAGTTGACAGTCCCTCTGATATAAGCTTCATCCGAAGTATTAGTGTGATGAACTAATATGCCTATCGCTTCTATGCCCGGCAGAATAGTGGACAGTAATGGCAGGGTCCACCTAATAGCAAGATCCAGATGACCCTACTCCTTATCATCTCCAACAGATGTAACCTATGTGCGCTTCGGGGCAATAGATGCAATGTTTCCATCTAGTTCCGGGGTCGTGGCTAGATGATAGCCACTGGCGGTTAGGTAATGTGAGAACCCGGGTTAGATGTCATCACGAAACCTGAGTTGATGTCGTCCTTTAAAGTTCTACAAGGTAGATGGAGAGTGTCTGCGATCCAGGTGAGGATTAGGGATGGGATGACTTGGGCAAAACTGCGATGACGGAGGGAAAGTCTGACTTTCAGGAGTAGCATCCAACAGAGTAGATGTATTATTATCTCTATTCCTTATCTTGGTTCCATGTGTCATTGTAGGAGCGAGTCCTGTATCTGTCCTCGACTGTTCGGTGCCTTGTTGTAAGACCGTCAAACGGATTAAAGAAAGATCTGATTTGTCCAGACAAATCACTCTGATCCCGTGAAGTTGATAGGGGATTCGATACTGGAGGAGCCGTACTGTACCCGGTTCAAGAGGGAAGTGTCACAACTGGAGGGTGTGACTTTTCTGGAGATTGTTGGTCTGTGTGCGTCGCTATCAGTAACTCAGAACGTGAGTGTGAGGAGGGTCGATCTCATTTCATCTGTCGATCTCGATGTCGATGGGGAGGAGCAGCGTATCAATAATAGTCTGCTGTCAAAGGATATATTGGGTAGAGCCAATATCAATGGTCTCTGTATCGATCAGTTGTCAGATAAGGATAGTATCTCATAGGTTGGTATTGGTGAGATTGAAATCAATGTCGATCCCAGTCGACATCTCTATAGTAACTGAAGTGTCAAGGTTACATTCAACATGAGGAATGACGACCCTTGGAGGGTGGATTGTGGTTTGATGTCAACTTCTCTGTAGAATGTCAACCCTTCAAAGTCGACTCTGAATGTCGACCCGCTGAATGTCAACCTGGAGAATGTCAACCCATGGAGGGTTGATCGTGGTTTGATGTCGACTTCTCTGTAGAATGTCGACCCTTCGAAGTCGACTCTGAATGAACCTGGCGAATGTCCTTGGGTCGAGACTGCTCTCTACTCTCTCTGTGTCTGGTAGGCGATGTCAATGCCTGGTTTCTACTAGAGTCGATAGTAGTCACAGTAGATTATTCCGGAATAGCTTGGTCGATCAGAGTAGAGGTATGGCTGGTCGATCTCCGAAGTCGATACATGATTTCTGTAGATCGGGTCTGAGAAGATATATCTCGGTCGACTGGTCAAAAGTTACTGGCAGTACCATTTGTTTGTGATGTACTTGTTGACCGGGAGTTTGTTGTAGTCGGTGGATTCCTGTTAAGACTGAAGAACCAGTGCGAACTTTGTCGTGCAGAAAACTGTGGGAATTGTATCTTCTTCCACTGACACGGAAGTATCGTGGCTGTAGTGGTTGATTCACCACAAATTTCACACTTGAATGACCGCGAGTCTTGGTCACACGTTTAGGTTCTTGGACGCAGAGTGTCCATGTTCAGTATCCTTGGTTTCAGATGGGTGATCAATCCCTCTCTTTTGGCATTTTTTAAGATAGTCCATCAATGCCTCAAATGAGAGCATTCGGAACACTGTGAACCCGAAAAAAACAGACTCAAATACAATCACAGCTTAATTGAGGAGGATCCACTGGAGAAAATATGTGCGCACACTTCATGCAGGTTTTTATGCAATTAGTGCCCCCAAACTCCCGTCATTTGGAGAAAAATATATGCCTTAATATTCTCACCCCAAAAATGTATGTCTCCACAGAGGCGAAAAGAAAGAGAATGATGAGGCAGTCAATGGACCAGATCGAGGACAGCGTGCTGCACGCACGAGATCCGAGTGCCTGACCTAGATACTGGAGTGGTCGTCATGGTGATGCACGGGTGGCTGGCAAATGAAGCTTTAAAGCTGGAAACTTTGAACAAGGGCATTTCCACGCAAGGGATTGAAAGGAGGAGGAATGCAAAGAGTGAAATAGGATAAGTTTAAAAATTGATCCTTATTAATTTATGCACTATCTAAACTGTATATTGTAGATAGTTTTATTACTTAAATTCTGTTTCAGTCTTTTTCTTACTGGTGCTGACACACCAGTTTTATCAAAAATAAAGTAATGGTTGACATGAGACCAGATGTTCAAGAAGTTTCAAGCCTTTTTAATGTTTATCCCCAATGAAACAAAACAATTCATGCAAAAATGCTTTGAATTAAGTATCGGAATATGTATGGTATCAGGAGATACTTGTATTGTGACATCCCAAGCAAAGATACAATATACAATTTCTGGTTAGGGGTTGTATGAAATATCTCAAATAACACTTGTGTTGTATGGTTGAAGTCATGAAAAGAATGAAGCCAAAGAGTGGACAGACAGGTGGCTAGGAAGGCAAATACAGGCTAATAATGACATCAGAATGTGTCCAGTACCTGTAGAGGCACCGTGGCTCTTGAAGTGTGTAGGTGAGCTAGGGTAAGAAGGTCCACAACCACCTTGATGCCATTGGAATCCATAATTTCTTTCACATTTTTCTGGAACAAAACAGTATGACAATTAGATAGATCATTGAAACCCATCATGAAACAAAGAATTTGTGACACTTAGCTTTGAACTGAATGAACATAATGATATTAAGTTCAAACCTTACATTGAATCAATGTTTTTACAAGGATTCTGTTGTAATTGTTAAATTTCAGAATACTTGTTAATTCATATTAGCATATCCTATATTCCCAAAAGCCACTGCCTTTAAAAGACAACCAGGTTCAATCACAGGATTAATCCACACAAACTCAAATCATGTAAAGCATAGTAAAGCAGTTGTTTTCTGATTTAGTACATTTTGCAACAAAGCTTATCAAGCCCCAAAGAAGGTAATAACCCTCACAGTCAGTATCAGCTTGAGCTCTGTCACATTCTTAAAAATAGTGCCTCAAGCTGGAGCTCACCAGGATATGTTTTCACCAAAGAGAGACATTTAAAAAAGACTTCACATCACTTACACATGTGAACTTCCAAAGATGAGACAACGACCAACTACTCCGGCCAGCTTTATCAGTATATCAGTAAAAATTAGTCTAAGTATATGGGCTAGAGCAAGCTGATGTTACTGGACCACAAACATTTGTACTATTCACAGGCTTTGGACCAGTGGATAAAGCTGCAGACTGCTCACCTGATGGAGAATAAGTTTGTTCAAAAACAGAATCAAACGGTCTCTTTCCAAACGATCTGTGCACTGAAAATGAGCAGAAAATAGTTTAGAATTCTGGTTGCTTTGATGGTGCTAAAAGTTTTCTGTACTAACTGGCTGAATGATCTCTGGCTTGATTTGGAAGATTATCAGGGTATCAATGTATGTTCAAATAGACTTTAGAAAACAATAAATTGTTAAAAAAACCATGTCACATTATGGTCCTATATATCTCCACAAGGTTTCTGCACTACAGGCCTTGTGCTTCCTAAAATGTCTTAGCTTTTCAATTTTTACAAACAGAATTTCTCATTTTTTATTTTATATGCATGAACAAATCTCAACTCTACTGTGATTCTACACATTATATTTATATTCCTAGGCCTGAAGGCTTGCTGCAAGAATATGCTTCAGGATATTTCACAGTGTGTTAATTTTTTTCATACATTTTTCAGCTTCATTGGCCCAGTGATTTCAGAGGTGATGTTTGTTACAGCCATTGAAATAAACTAACTTGATTTTCAGTCAGGTAAGCGAAAAACACAAACTATAGTGTTTATCTTAATGCCAGAACTAATTGGGTCCTAGTTATATCCTCATGTTACAGGTTCATCCTTTCAGTCAGTTTGGGGAAGAATCAAGGTGAAAGTTAACAAATGAAAGACAACACACCACACAACAAGCCCACTTTGACATTTGGACTTAAAGCTAAAAGGGATTTTCAATAGAGTGGCCAAGAAAATCCAAATACTTCAGCAATTATTGGTAAATTACAAACATCAAACAATAGTTATCACTTTTAATAGCTCTTAGAATACTACCTCTATTACATCACTGCAATTAATCCTCAATTTAAAAAACAACAAAAATAAACCAAGAAGAACACTATGAAATCATCAGATTTTCAACACAGGTGCTCTTCACTGACAACTATCAATAAACAGTTGTGCAAGAAATAGTATCTTACTGCCCGAAGGCTCTTGCACTTGAGTTGGGAAACCTAATTTCTTTCCAACAATAAGCACTCCAGAGGCAGATAATTGGGGAGGTGAGTAGGATTACTCCTGAGGTAATTCAGGTTGTATTCTTAGAATTATTAACAATAATAATAATTGTTTGGTAATTCCTGGGAATATCCTACCTTGATTATATCACTGCCAGAATATACCAGAGGGACCCGCATGTTTTGACATCTAGTTATCCTTGAGATAGTTAACTGTTGAGTGCCTAATAAATCTAAAGCCTCTTCAAAAGGGGATAGATCAAAGATTAGGTAAATATCATAACCAAATTACCTTAAAAGGACTAATCCAGAATATATCAAGGAAATAAGCAAATACATGATAAATTTCCACTGAACTACCATTAAATTTGCATCCCGATTACGCTCATGACATCGTCAGATGACCTGACAGATAGTCTTTCAGATGTGACAACACTTTCAGGTTCTGGTAACGTCACTTCCAGTTCTGATGATGTTACTTTTGGAGAGGCGTGATTTCAACCAGTCAAACCATCATGCTGAAGCAGTGAGCTTAAAGCTGAACTGTATCCCTCTATAGTGCTATGACAAAACTGATTATATTGTCCAAGATGGAGTTAGAAGTCTGCAACCATGAGTATAGTTACATCATCATATCCCAATCCCCATCACCTTTTCCACTGACAGAACCGGTCCCATCTATTGTCGTAAATAGTGATGAAGAAGGTCTTCAAGATTGTGCCAGTGCTGCAAATGCAAGCTTGAAGAAGCCGTATGTTCCAAAACAAAGACATACACCAATAAAGTGAATTGTTTGGATGATCCCATACTTTTGTGATCATGTACACAGTGTTTAGGTGTTGAACCTCTGGAGGACATAAAATTCCCTTCAGAAGCTGGAATCTGGCGCCAATATAAATTATATCCTGTCCTGGCTTGACCTTGGACTAAGTCAGATGATCAAGGATACCCAGATGTGACGACAGTAGTAAATGCAGGATGTATAATCTCTTACAACTTCAAGAATCCAGCGGTTTGTCATGGTGTCATGGCAAAATTCCTCAATGACTTTGTGTGACTTTTCATTAAAGAAGAGTTGTGCAGTGATAGGTTGAGACAGAACAACCTCCACAACTGTTCTGTAACTGCTCTATTCCGTACTTGTGAGAGAAGATGATGTCTTGGAGACAATAACAATTGGGTCCATATCCAAACTTGGAAGACAAGAGCACCCCCTGCATCTTCACTATGCTGTCCTACTGCCAATGAAGCCACAGTGGCTGGCAAGATGCCCCATAATATTCTTAAAGAAGTGTTATGATGTGGAGTACTCCAGCCAAAAACCAGCTGACATAAATAGCAATCTCCAGGGTGTGTAATTGTGAGAGTGAGGGTAGAAATCCACATGGTTCACATGCGGTCCATGCTGCAATGGAGTCCATTTTCAGGCAAAACAAAAGCCTTTGAAGGATAATAACGGCCCGTCTCACATGAGTATTTACCTGGACAATGGTGCACAGTGGCTACCATGGCCAAAGTACCACCCATATGACCTTCAGCCGTCCAGTTCTCTTGATTGATTGAAGCAGGCTGAGGGTCTGATGTACCGGTAACTGTGAGCTCTTTAGTGAAGGTAACTGAGCCGTTGTCAACAGAATCCATAATGGAGTGATCTTCTTTACTCCTATTCCTAGCTTGTGCATTAATGGTCCTGATCAGCTTGGGTGATCGAGGTTCAGGAATTTGAATGATTTTCCTGCTGCAAGGGGACCATGCTGGTCGAGTGACGAGAGATCAACCGCCAGACAGATGCCATTTCTTCAGACGTCTCTCTATAAAGAGCTGCATGTATTTTGCTGCTTCTTCATTAATTGCTCAAAGGGAGAGGGCTGGGGTAGAGTCAGAGTGGGTGCACATCTGAGTCTCTGGCGTAGTTGTAGGAGACATCTCCAGAGTGTGGGTGCACCTATCTTCAGATGCTGTAGAAATAGACAGAAAAACTCTCTATGGCTTTCTCAGCTGCCTGCTTCTTCCGGGCCTTCTTCCAACTCTCAAGCTTGGCAAACAATTTGACAGAGAGGGAGGCACACTGAGAGCACCTGGCTTCAGCTGAGCACAACAAATTTCTGCAGTTCTCAAAGGAGGTGTGTGGTTCCCCAGCAATTTTGTACTTCCCACACTACCTGCAGGCAGTTGGCGATGACAGTTAAGGAGATGCCATCTCTATACACAATAAACCACCTCTCACTACTTATGTAAACAGATCGCAGAACTACTAAGATAGAAATAAGATACTAATAGTGAATATTAAACATTAACTGATGACATAGATTAACTACACCGTGACAAACTACCAAACTGTGCTTGATAATGCTAAGAAAACTTTTCAGAAGTTGTTGCTAGGAGAAGCAAGATAGAAGTGAGATTTCCTGCCTTGCACATGTGCAAGGGCCTTTGGGTGGCATGATACTATTTCTTGGACAACTGATTATGGATAGTTGACAGAGAAGAGAACTTCTGCTGAAATCTGAACATTTTAAAGTGTGATGACAACCAAACTACAGGATTTATTGCAGTGATGTAATAGAGGTAGGATATTTGCAGGAATTATAAGGCTGACTAGCTCAACTGAATTTGTCCGGAATAATATAAAAGCTCATACAAAGTTAAAGAAGATTCAGCAAAATAAATAAGCTTCTACACTCCGTTTGCTGCAAAATCGTACAGATGAAATGTGAAATAGATATAAATCAGAAAGCATCAATTTGTCTTAAATGGCATGAATGTTATTTACCAACTTGTCACGATCATTTCAGACATTGCCACAGAGTAGAGAAAAAGTTATTTAACAAACTATCATGTAATTGTTGGTGTTTTAATTCCTGTTTTTACAAGGGGCTTGGCGCAATAAACATAACAGCTGGAGGGAACACAGGGATATTTTAATTGTCACTGTTACTGTCAACTGCAATAACAATTTGACTGACAGAAGCATGATCTAAACCATCTCTTTTACAATATCAATATATATTCTGGTCTCAACTTTGTCAATGCACCCCTCCGAATTGCTATAATCATAAACGTGAAATACCATGGTTTTCATCATGTACCATATTGTAATGACATATTGAGTTCATAAAACATTAATACTTTATAAAGAAATGTTAACAAACATTTTCCTGAGCAGGTTTTTAAAAAGTGACCTTGACCTCTGACAATATTAATTGTATATTTCACGTTTCCATTCTCTCAGCTATGTGAAACCAAATTGTTTAATATAATTGAATTCTTAATAGTTTTCTTTATATACTACTGGACAAAACATAATTAAGCTTTGTATAAAGTGGTGTAAATGTTATGTTATCATAAATAACAAAAACATATTTGGTCTCCTGTCTGATCAATGTCGTCGGGAAACATACCCCATTCAAATTGCCATTAACAATGATAATTTGTGTTCCAACTTCCGGCCCCAAACTGAAGATGTTGAGTAAACATGGCTAAAACATTCTCCTGGATGCATATAGAACCTTGCACGACCATCAGAGGTGTCCAGATGAAACCTGTACTCATCTGTGAACAGTAAACTGTCCAGGTCTTGTCTTATGAACCCTAGAGGCTGTCTAAACCAATCTGTGCTTGTCTGAGAATGGAAGCAAAACTGGGCCTATCACTGGACGATGGGGTCAGAGGTTGTGTTCCCTCAATGGTTGTGCCACTAATTTGTACCACCCAAGGAATTGTCTGAGCTGTTAATGTAGCAGTTTGGTATCGATTCTGTAGATGCACCAACAGAATATGGTTGTCTTGTTGTTGTGACATATCATGTGTACAACTGGTCCACAGTACCAGTGTTGACCTGCAGTAGATAACTTCTCCAAAGAATTATTGTGTTTTGATAAACATTAAAATAAATGCCTGGTTACTTCATTTTAGGACATTCCTGTTTGCAGCATACCCAAGATATGCAGACTTTGATTTCAGAGGTTTTGTATTATTTATGGTTAAACAAGAGTGTTTTGACACACACCCCCACACACACACAACCTTTGACTTTTCATGGGATTTGAACCATGTTTTATAATGTGACCTCCAGTGGTCATGTCCCTCAATGAGTGGATGGGTGGGTGGGTGGGTGGGTAGGTGAGTGCATGAGTGAGTGAGTGAGTGAGTGGGTGGGTGGGGTGCGGTGAATGGGTGGGTGAGTGAGTGAGTGAGTGAGTGAGTGAGTGAGTGAGTGAGTGAGTGAGTGAGTGAGTTGGGTTTAACCCCACTTTGAACAGTATTCCAGTTGTATAACAGCATTTCAGCTTAATCTTGGAGGAAAGCCCAAAGTGATGCAGATCTCAGATGTTCACCTCCTTGGCAAAACCCATGTACTTAGACATATGAGACTTATCTTCAATGAACTAATTAGAGTCACATCTGTTATTTGGTATTTCAAAATGGCTATAAGAAAAGTGTTTACTAGGGCTGTTACGATTCACTTGTGTATTCGGTGAATTGAACCATATCCATTCATGAATTGATTTCGTTATTCGTGGCCACAAGAATCGAATATTTATGAATATGCAATCGTGTACATTTACATACCCTGTACCTAAAAATATCCATAAAAACATATTTTATGAAGATTTCTTCAAAGACAACACTCTCATAATATTCAATTTGCCAGTATTGTGGCTACTGGTCATTGTCGCATTTGAGCAGATACTAGTACCTGGATAAGTGGAGTATATAAATCATTTATGTACATTATATTATCAAATTAACAAACCATGTCAAATAATTTATGTTGTTCCCTCGTGGGCAGTTATTGATGCAACTGTCAAACAACAAACCAAGGAAAAGGTATTCCATATTTATTTGAATATATACCTCGCCAAACATTTCACTCTGCTTATGGTGCAAAGTCTGCTCTCTTACATGGAGACAAACTGTTCAGCAGCACTAAGATTTGGTCCAGATGCCTGGGTTCAGTATGACCAGAAATGTCTAGAGACTCTCTCTGACTTTGGGACAAAATTAACGGTTAGCTATACATGATCCCGCAGTGGGGGGCATCAACAGGTTCCTGGTTCATTCGGTCAGCTGACTGCTTCAACTGTTTCTGACCCAGCACTCAACATATGCTAATAGGAAATCACAGCTCAAATACGGCACATCCTTGCCACATCCAATTCAAAGGCAATGGAGAAAGAGTTACAGTCTCTCATTGGTAAGCTTAATTTTGTGTGTAGGGCCATCCCAATGGGTAGAGCATTCAACCGCAGACTCATCGACCTCCTCTGCCAAGGTAAGCAACCACTCCATCATATTCTAATCACAGTATTGGTAAAACAGGATCTTCAAATGTGGCTTACATTTCTCATGAACTCTATCAATAATGTAAGTATATTGGGTGAACCGAGGAAAGCTACTTTCCACCTCCCACACCTCAAAGGTGACCAATGTGGGTACAGCAATTCAGTAGTTGTTGAGACGGCACCAGGTAAATCAATCTACCCACTAGCGGTCCAAAGGCATACTTAAACATGTACCCATCCTGCCAGGCCCCAGCATTTATCCACTTTGATCATACATCGCTAACCAGGTAACTTCCAAGCTGTTCTCAAAAAGGCCTTTGTCCTCTGCTCAAAAAGTACTGAAAGTTTCTTCCCACTCTTTCCCAATCGGAGCAGCAACTACAGCAGCTATCAATGGGGTACCACCACATCCCATCCAGCAATATGGCAGGTGTAAGTCACAATGCTATCAGTCTTACTTATATACGTCTACCTGTGAACTAATTTTTCATGTTAGTTAACCATAATTAAGACAGAAATAATAACTGCCAAATGCCACTACAGTACACTTCTTTCTTGTTTGGATCATGGGATCAAGCTTCATGTCAAGGGCAAGGCAACAGCTATCCCAACCGTATCCTTATATGGGTGCCCCACAAAAGGAACTTGTGGTCGGTGAGGGGTGGCCTGCGGTGGAATGAACTGGACTGGGTCAGAGATGCTCAGGTTGAGGCAACGCGGCTCCATCAAGACAAGCCAGCTCCTCCTTGATATGGAGACATCCAGGCGCACCTGCCGGATCCCATGTTTGTTTTTCTGACATTCTTCCACTCCATTATTGGCACAATGCACGTGACCCATGTAAGGTTCAAAAGAGACGATCTAAGCTAAACAGTTGGCTAGCCAACCATCCCTGTCAATTAATGAACTTTTCATCCATCCCCCATCCAAATATAGTTGCCACTGACAGATTCTGGTTTCAGTGGGAGGGAATTCACCTTAGCTTTAAAGGAATCCAAGCATTCATCAGTGATATCCATAATGCCTTGAACCAATTTTAAGTAAGTTACGAGGCAATCATGCCGGGCACACATATCATCATCAGCAGTCATGGGCTGTAGGGCAGCCCTTCTGTGCTAAATGGCGCTGTACTTCTAGGCTACCTCCCATATCATTATAATTTATACCAATGTATATACATTGTACTATTTAAGGTTTCGTGTCCCTACTTGCCCATTTAGACCCCAAACGTTGGTTGGGTTGGGATGTTTCCATCATTTGGGCCTTAGCATTAATTATCTATGAAGAATTATTTTTGGCGACGCAAGTCGCCACATAGCTAAATTTGGCCTTGCCTTCATAGCCATTTTGGCCTTTAATAGCATTATCATTATTTTAAATTTGGGTAGCCCTTCAGAACCTCCACATCCATTAAATCCACTGTTGCATCTTTGTCATTCTTTCAATAAAGCCCACCTTCCTCAGGTAGGTGGGCTCTTCCTGTGATATCATGCAATAAACGCCTCCTACGGCAAGCATGGGTTGCTAAAGACCTAGTCTCTCCTCTTATATTCACTGTTCTACTGAAATACGCAGTAAGAGTGGTGTATTGAGCAAAAATGGCTCTTAAAAATTCTTGCAACTGCAGGAAAGTTAAAAATCTGATCAGATAGACTTCGGTGTGCACTTGTGGGATTACTAAAACTGGATACACAAACATATTGTTTCATAGGCCTTGTAGTTTCAGAGGACTGGACCTAACCAGACAATGACCCACAAAAAAAAAGCTCACTTGATTTTCAGTCAGATGAGCTTAAAAACCAATTGGTGGTTACAAAGTTACAGGTTTTAAGTGGTTTAAGTTAGGAAAGTTAACATACTGCATGATGGACAGAAGGAAAGTCAAGTTGTGCTGACAATACATAAAAAACAACAACAGAAAACATGATAAATTCAAAGGTAAAAATTATAGGCCAAGAAAGTAAACCTACCCTTTCAAGCATTCCAACAATGTATCGGGTATCATTGAATGCCCCGATCTCTTCATAGCATCGACCATACACAATGGTCATTGCTTGTAAACACATACATTTCATGTTGGTTTTGGGTGTGAGCAAAAATCTGTGATACAAATCGTTGAAGAATTCGTACCTAAAAAGAAGAACAAATCCAATGTTCAAATACACACAATGTCATACTTACAAAACTCAATTTCAGTGTCATTTCAATATTGATATGCATCTTCAGGGAAACATTTTTTCACAGGTGATGACAAAAGGCCCTAATTGTATATCTGTCTATGGTCTGATGGAAACACGATATCACCATGTTTCAGGTTCAGTGCCGTGTTAAAAACCAGACAACCAGCAAAACAGAATAATGAAATAAATCTTGATTGTGTGCTTATAACTAGCTATCTGGTTTACCACATGACCAATCACTTGGACATGGTGAGTCAATGTTGGAAATTACTGCCTGCTCGACCACATGGGACCAATCTCGAAATGTGAGGTTATTTTCATTTTGCAACTCTAATGGACAGGAAATTTTTCTGATGCTCATTGCCAAACTTTAATCATGTTTTTAATTATGTTTTCAAATATTTATCAGTCTACTTCCATAACTAGTGAAAATGATAAGTAACGTATGTGATATATGTCGTGTCAAGCATCACACGTTTCAGGCATCTGGAACATCTATCTGCAATCAGCTTCATGCAAAATCTTCAGAACATTTAAAGGCAGGTAGAAAGGTCCCTACATGTGCTAAAGTGGAGGTAAATATTGTCCTGAATTACAAAAATATGCAAAGAACAGGCCAGATGAGCTAAATATCAATACTCATTGTCTGCATTGATAATACCCCCACTCTACACAGCTGCAATTATTTTTTACTAAAATATGCATTATACACCACAAAATATGGTATAGTAATATGAACAAATATCCTTGATGTTTTTGCCATGTTTCATGACTTGAGTTGTGGTTTCAGATCTAGATCCAAACAAAGAGATTGTGCAGGTAAAGCTAGGTCCAGACTGTGTCAAAAGTTATGATGCCAAACCTTTTAGTCTTTAATATTCATCGAATTTGACCTTAAATGTCAGACAATCATATGCTATAAAGATTTGCCAGGAGTACATGAGAGATATAAGTAGAAAGTCCCTAACATGTAGTGACTAATGTTGGGGAAAACAAACTGTGTCGACAGTCAGGTAAAGACAAACACGTTGCCACGAATGCTTATAATAAATGTACTATCTAAGGATAGAAAAATATACAGTATCCAATCGCACATTCAACTATAATGTATTATGAACAAAATATGCAGGAATATATTTTCAAGATTGAATGATCTTGCAGATTTACAGACACTTTTGATAGCAGGCAATGCCTACTTCTTGCACAAGTTGGATGTAACACTGGCCCACCAATATTAGCAATATCAAAAGTCTGTAAAATACATACGACTTTTTGATTGCATTTGTTTCTTCACTTTCATCTTCTTCTTCCTCGAGGAGAAGACGAAGGTAGTAGTCGCCTGGAAAACAGAATCACACGTCTGAGGAATTCAATGGTCATTTGATATAACCGCACTAACATACTCCATAGAAATACACCTGCTGTGAGAAATTAACAATGTTTGAACCTGTTCAGTAAGTTCCTCAGGCACCTGAGACACCGCAGAAAAAATTGACTTCAATCAAGCACTAAATTTACCTGGCACTTTTACATACTCTTGTGGCTAAATCTTTGTTCAATATGATATGCTAACAAAAAGAATTACCTATTTTGATTTCCTCAGATAGACAATGGTAAGGCACCTCAAACTCGGCATGGTTCCAACCCACTATACAACTGGCTCCAAGTTCCTTGTCTACACTGAAGGCTCTCATTTCATTCTCCAAGGACTCTCTCAATTCTTCCCTCGTCTATTAAGAAAATGATACATGAACGTCTCTTGATCAATGTGAACCAAATGGCATAATGACAACCAGAATTGTTCATATCAATGATGAAGTATATAATAATCACATATATTTCATACCTTGTAATTCCACAGAAGATTTGGTTTTGCATGGTCTCTGTTGAATTGGTAGTAGAACAACACCCAGTTTGCCTCACTTTTGATGCGCTGACGACGGTTGCGTAGCACTATTGGACGATCATTTTGCTAGTTAAGAAAAAATCACACTCAAATATCAGTATAAATAGAATTAACATTGTCCTAAGTGAAAAGAATACAAGTTAAACAGTTATGTTTACAAAGTTGTTATCAATAATAATATATTCAGGGATGGAAATGAACTAAGAATGTCTACCAGCCTGAATAGTGATAACATGTAGCTATCACCCCCCAAAATGTTTGAAATTCTACTGGCCCTTCAGATACCTTGGACGAAACTTGTCTGGGGTTATTGGGCTAATACTCATATCTATCCTTGAATATGTAAAAGATGTAGTTATCCATCTCTTTTGGTTTTGGCATTTGGTTTGGTTCTACAAATGTACAGATTTCTGAACCAGATTGGTAATTCATTATTGTATGATGACCTCAGGATAATACCAGTGAGCTGTTTCAACTTCCTCCATAGCCAAACCTTTTGTGTAATTTCTTATGGAAGGGAAAATTGAAACACTTGACATGGGTGCCGCCATCTTGGATGCTGTCCTGTAACCCGCATATTCACATCAGCAGGTATCTGACTTTGCACCAGGTCCACTTTAACCAGTAACTCAATCAAAGGGGGTGGGCTGGGCCAGAATACTAATAGATTCGACATATATATTGTTATCCTTACTTCTAATACCAGTGAGATTTAGATTTCAGCATATTGGAAGGCAGTCTCAAATGGAGTCATCTATAAAGTTTGAAGTACTGTCTAAATGCTAGAAAAATGCTTTTCTGGCTTCATTTCATAAACACGAGTCATAGGGCTATGAAAATAGTATATATCAAAGTTACGCAAATTGACCTAATCCAGCCTGTCCTAAATGACACTGTGATCACCCTTAAAATGTACTTTTACAGGTAAAATGATGATAAACTAGCAAATATTCATGTATGAAATGGCCTATAACACCTGTCCCAAAGGGTGGTCTCAAAATATTTCTGCTGTTGTACTTAATTGACATGTGCCTTGATGGGGTAGCAATTAAGTATATGTACTGCATTATATTTGCTTGGAAAAATGAAGGATTAGCTAAAAGCTATGAAACGAGATGAGGTTGTGGTTTTGGAAGTATTTCATGAAGTATTTGTTGTTCTACAGATGATTTCTTGAGGTAGCATCTATCTCCTCTGATGACGAATATGCATCCGTACTATCACCAAAAGGTATGATAACTGGTTCAACAAGGCTGATGTCTTGCGTTGATCCTTCGTTTAACATGTGTAAGTTTGAATGTTGTGTTATGTCTTGTCGGGTACCCTTCACAGTTAGCCAAGATAGGCACAATAGGTTTGAGCTCACAATGTCTGACTGGCATACTTAAGACAACGTGACCGTGTTTTGCTGCAGGCTCATATGTCTTGTACTTTACTAGTTTCGTATTCAGCCAAATTTACTCCATGATGGTCTGAAGTCGACAATGTCATATATTCCTGTATACACAGCCTTCAGAATACTCATGGTTGGCGCAACTGTATCTGATTCCCAGACGTTATATTAACTGGCTTTAACCATGACAATGACACTGAGGTTAACCAGTCTATGAAAACATCACCTATCATTTCCTTATGAAAATCACCAGGTTTTTTTTTCGGCCTCAAAAACTAGGACACATCCATCAATTAGCCCCATGACACGATTATCTTTACCTGATGGTACCATGGGTGCTTGTTTGTCCATCTGTCGATAGCCACATGTAGTCAGTGGAATGATTTATCAAAGTAAAGGATCTGGAAACCTGACTGCAATGAATGGTGCAGAGATAATGTGACCTCATTGACAGGATGAAATATTTTACCCTGAAAACTGCTTGGTCATCGCCACGCGCAGTGTATCAAAATCGGCAATATTTAGTGCAGTCCAGGAAACATTAATTGTATTTTAATTTCCTCCCGAATTTTACAAGTCGGGGGTACCTTCTGCTCATAAAGCTTGTACACTTTATCTTTTTACGTCCAGGTTTCGTTTTTCAGACCACCCGTAAACCTTTTTGTTTTATTTATCAATCCATAGACTTGATGGTATGAATTGAAAACCCCATAGCTTGGGCAGTTTGGTAATTCGCGCTAATTCTAAACTAATAAATGGTTTCCGTCTATCTCTCTAAAGTGTAAAGAACTTTCCTAATACAGACTCCATGTCGTGTACCATGCAAGTGTAATGTAACATGAATCATAGGAGCAGTGCTGACAAAACAAATGCAGCAGTATTTTGTTATCTTAGAAGATGCACATCTAGAATTTTCTCCATATGATTTCTTTTGTGTGGATTAGATATTTTATGAAGACTACATTATTATCATAATGGAGTCACATGCTCCTATTTCTATAGTCAGTTCTAGGGTGCCATCATTGGACTTGAATAAATATGAACTTACTGTTTCTGTTCGAATTTTTCTCCTGTAAACTTGTCGAAAGGACTCCTTGTTAATGAAATACTTCCAACCACAGGTAGATTGATCGGTAGTTACTCAATATTACAACAGCAACAGTCTGTGATTTTTTTTTATCTCTTTTTGATAGGCAAAAAGCCTTTTTTTAGCATTTCCGACAGTACTTTAGTACAATTATCAAAAACTCTTTATCAACTCATATCATAGAGAGAGAATAAAATACCCCTGGGTGACCCAACCAGTCAGGTGTGTGACAATAATACAAGGGGTTGGGACACAACCAGGGGCATTCTCCGCAGCACAATCCCTGATGGAAAATAGGCAAAAGGTGGTGTAATGTTGCAATGGTGCAGCTCAAGGTAGGGCATCCATCGTAACTGCAGAGGAGAGACAAGCGAGGCAGAAATCACTCTGATTTCGTGAGTCCTGATGGAAGTCTGGTGATTCTGTTCACCTCATCGAGTGTGTCATAAGCAGCATTGATAGTCCCTTCTAGCCATCTTGACAGCCAAGTGTTGGAAGCAAAGACCAATGTCATGTGATGTTATCAATTTTTTTGAGAGGTTTCTGATATTTGTATAATGACATGATCCTTATGGCCAGGTTCAACAATGTTTGGTGCCTCTTTCTAACATGTTGTACCACTTAAATAGGCCTTTACAAACAACTGTTGAAGGTGTTGAATTATTTGCAAAAACAGAAGCAACTATATCTCCTTTCCCTGAATAAGCCTCCAAAAACCAAACCAGGTGACAGCTAACCTCGTCAATACCCAGAACTTCAGAAAAGGTGTGTATTTGCTTAAAATATGCAACATAAATCACCATTATCTAGTTTATTTTGAGATGCTTGTATATTTTAAATATAACAATAATATAACAACATGGACAGACATTTCTGTGTTTAGAAATGTCTCCAATGCACGTCTTGATGAAGGGGGATGAGCTCTAGATATGACCTGTCTAACTCCCAACTCATACATGACCTGCTGAAACAACCCTGACATGAAATTCAACCCTTGATCAGACTGAACTACTTTGGGTATGTCAACAATGGTGAATTTTTTTTATCAAAGCCTTAACTGGCACAGTAATCTTCCTTAATGAAATGACTTCTGGGAATCTGGTTGAAGCACACACAATTGTCAACAAATACTGGTTGCCAGACTTTGTTTTAAACAAGAGAAAACTGAAGATACAAACTAAATACAGTGTGAAACCTACTGATGATGTGAACAAGTTCTTTTGACACTAGCACACACAAGTGGGGGCTTCCTGTCTTTCGCATGTGCAAGAGCCTTAGGAAGCAAGATACTATAAGTTGCACAACTACCGGTAATTATGAAGTTGACAAGGAAGAGGACTTCTGAAGATTTTTATAGTGTGATGACAGCCAAAATACAGCACTTAGGTAATGATGTAATAGAGGTTTTGTATTTGTATGAATTACTGCCTGTCATTACCCTGGGCACAAAACAGACCAACATGGAAGTACATGGGCTGTATAAACTACAGGAACAACATAGGGGAGAACATGTCACACACATCCAAACTGCTTGTGCTAAAATTGAACAGATTGGGGGTTGATGTGCACAGGTGACATTCACTCCAGTGAAACAACTCCAAGGACAGTAAAGAGGTACAGTAAAGAGTGTGGCTAGCAAAGAACCTGTTGCCAGAACTCACTGGTATCAGTATGGCAAAATAAATAACTTTGTTAAACTGGTAAGATCAAGAATTGAGTTTAGAAATATCTGGAGTATTGGTCTATCCAGATTCCAGACTGATAACCTAGAGCATCTTAGGTTGGGGATAATATGGCACAGGATACATTTTTGTCCAATGTAAAAACCTCCTTTGGACGAAAGTTTGACATTCTACATCAGGCATGCATAATGAAAATTTTATTATTACTGTCTTTTTACCTGCTTTGTTTCAAGTCCAATTCGAGATCTCCAGTGCTGTAGAAATCCATCAATTCTTTTTTCAAACAATTGAAGCTGTGGGTTCTTTTTATTCTTGTTTTGATGGTCCTTGAATGGAAAACCATAAATGTGACTTATGCTGGATTACTTTTAAGCACCTTAAAGAAAGTCTTAAAATATCCAATTAATATGTCCAAAACTGTAAACTTCTAATCACGGTTGTTATTTCAGTGGTCTAAAACCTATCCCAGCTGTTCGCACATGGGAACTGGTAATGTAACCATGTGGACCATTTGCTTGTAATGAAAGGTCCAAACTGTCTTTCTAAGGAAAAGGAATTGTTTGAAATTATTCAACATTATTTCTGTAACACAATTTAAGAATTGTCTTGACACACTTCGTCCGAAGTACCCAGAGACTGTCTTGTTTTAATTTGTCTTTAGACATACATTGATCAACAAGCTCTAATTCAATGGTAGACTGTGATATCAACTTTGTATTTAAAAGACATACTTGTCGCTAAAATTAAAGAAAGAGATGATAAATTGTAAAATATTACCCATCTACCACATGCAGTCACTAGTAAATAAGTATGAACTTAATGATATCGATACCTATTCTGCCTTTTTGTTATTCCATGAAAAAAATGCAATGGCAGGGCAGAGGAAACAAGTGTAAATAACGTGAACAAATTTTTCACATCAAAAAGATGTTCTCATATATGATCACAGGTACCTAGGTTATGGTTAATAACAATTGAAAAACATTATCACTTCTATGATTTAATGTACTGATTGGTCCTGGGTACCAACATTTGATATTCTTGGGAGGGCCTGGGATATTGTCTGGAATTGTTTAGCTACAGCTTTGAATCAGATATTTTATAATTAGACTTAAATTAGTTTTATAAATAGTTTGAAACATAATAAAAAAAACTAAGCAGTTTCTAAAATGTCAGTATATCTAATACAATATACATTGTATCCCATTACTTAATTGCAAAATACCATTTGTTTTATTGTGAATGTATCTTCACCATTCAGGTGAAATAAAGATTATCTATCTATCTATCTATCTATCTATCATTTATACTCAAGTAAATGTATATACCAGATGTTTTAAAGACTGATCCACATCAAATACCTTGACCTTCAATGTCATCTTATCACATGAGAGAATGTCTTCAGAAAGAGATGATCCTCTACTGTCTAGATTTCGAGTCTAGGTCTAGACATTGTGATTAGTGTCAGCTTAATAGGGTCTCACAGTTTTAGATTAGCAAATGTTTACAGATGACAATCAAAATGGACAAACTGGCAATGACAAAATATGGGATTTGATTTGCCCAAGTAAGCTAATAAAAGATAACTTAATGCACCCCATTACAAAATGATGAACAATGAAGAAGTAAGTATACATGAGGTATACAATTCCAATCAAGTGAAACTTGATTATCAAGAGTAGTTTGTCTTAATGACACTTTTCTTCTTATCTAACAAAACGGAACATACTGGTTAATAATTATTCTAATTTTGGTATTATGTGACTGAATGAAAAAGCATTGACTAGGCTAAGCATTCTTACCAAGGCCAGCTTGACATTATCTCGTACATGAAGTTTGTCCTCTTCATTCACAGGGACATCAGCAGCAGAATCCAGGAAGGCCAACAATCCACTGGGCTGAAGGAGGAAATACAGTTACATCAGTCTCAATGGGATGATGTGTAGACAGTACATTTCTTGAAATCAAACATTATCTTGAGTTTTATACAGTTAGATTGGTTGATGGAAAGATATTCTTTCCCACAATACCAGCATTGTAATGTCAGTGTTCACACAATATAATATCCCAAATACATGAATAAAATTATTTCTTCAATCTCACTCTTTCATTTTCAATTCTGCTGTTTACCCTGAAACACTTCCATTACACACTTATCTGACAACACAAATATAGCCATCAGCTCTGTAGCTCACCTGAATTGATCTGCTGAATGAGATCAGATTGATCATAATAATGTTACGAGCAGGATTGTGCACATCAACAATTGTTTGTGAGTTCCAGGATGACTATGGCAATTAGACTACTGTGAGAACATGGGGGATGTTACTCGCAGGGATAAAGTGAACTTGCTGTTGTCAAATAGAAGATAATGTATGATAAATTGTCACTGAGAATCCCAGAGTTAAAGTATGAACTAAGGAACAGGACATGGTGAGTGAATAGAAAAGCAAATTATCAATATAGCTGCAATGTGTGACATTTCTACATACTGGGTTTTCCAATTTGACATATATGGATGGTCTGTCATTTGGCTGTACAGACAACGAGCACTGAACCGAATCTCTCCATGGCTTTAGCTCACTTACCATTTAGACATTTATACATCTGGTCTTATAAAGTAACTTCCAGTTTGAGAAAACACATGCTTACTTATTAGATGTTAAAACCAAGAAGTCTAATGGTTCAAGCTCCTTTCTTTCTTTCCTTACTTCCAGTTTGTATCATGTCATTTCAGGCTTTGGAAAACACTTCCTACTGCAATTGGTTTGTCTGTTGTTAAACGCTGCACTCAGCAGTATTCCAGCTATATGGAGGCGGTCTGTAAATAATCGAGTCTGGACCAGACAATCAAGTGATTGATATCATGAGCATCGATCCACGCAATTCGGACATGCATCAACCAAGTCAGCAAACCTGACAACCTGATCCTGTTAGTCGCCTCTTACGACAAGCATAGTCGTCTTTTATGGCAAGCATGGGTTGCTGAAGACCTATTCTACCCAGGATCTTCACGGGTCACCTACTGCAATTGAACTTTAAACAAGAGAGTCCCATGTGTTCTAGCCCAAATTATTACAAAGTATATTAGTATTTCCAGTTTGTGTCATGTCAATTCAGGGTTTGAAATACACATTTTTACTTCATTAGAATTTCAAACCAGAAGAGACCCATGATTCTAACACAGTCCTCAGTACTTCTAGTTTGAATCATGTTATTTCAGGTTTTGTAAATCACGTCTTACTGCTATCAAACTTTAAACCAAGGAGGTCCCATGGTTCTAGCTGCTTTTGTATCAAAGAACATATATTTTGGATTACCTAACTTCCGGTTTCAGAAAACATATTCTTTAAACCAGAAAGTCCCATGGTTCGATCTCAGTATGAAGTGAAGAAATTTGTACTTATGATACTTATGAAAATTTGGCTTCCTGCAGTAAAAGTAAACCACATATAAAGCATCCTATAACTGCAACTTAACAAAAAGGTTTGTTGTCTTGGCAACTGGAAAACATTTACAAAAATTCCGAAACAGAACTGGAAAAAATAAACATTTCAAACAATCCAAAACACCAAAAGGCCCAAACACAAACCCCACAATCGTTTCAACCTTAGTCCTGGTTGTTGTCTTGGAAATAGGAAAAAATAAAAAATAAATTCTAAATAGAACAAGGCTTAAGTTCATTGTTAGACTGTTATGTGTAGAGTTTGGTAAAAAAATATTAAATTTCGTTGAGTTATACACGGTAACAAAACCTAGCCGCATTTGAAAGGCAGTGAATGTGAATTATTCTCTTATTTCACCAACGCTTCTTTCAATATTATTAGGTGGCATCTTGAACAGGAAATTGGATAATTATTCCATTTGGTTAAATATACATACAAATATACATACATTAAAAGGAATTCAGCATGCAAGAGAAATAAATGTTTATCAACTTTGTCAAATGAGGAAGTTTGTGTCCCCATAATTGCAGAAATGTTTGGCATTAACAAATCTACATTGGCAAACTTCCTACAACGATATAAAACCATGGAATCACTGTCAGAAAGAGAAATGCTTGGGGAATAAACATCGAGAGACCAAACTAATATCTTCAATGCACAGCAACTTGCCATATTATCTCAGACATCTGTTACGAGATGTTTAAGGTTTCATGGTAACAGAAGAAGATTATAAAAAAGAAAATTGTCATATCCACACATAATCCTCCCATGACCAGGCTCTCATGATGGGGTAAATTACACTGAGACGATTTTGCAGGATGTCCTCACATGTGGCCTGAATGACCTCGAAATCCGATTAGACCTCCTTGGTGATAAAACCCAGACATGACACTTGAGCAGGTATTCATGTTTGTGGAAGCCAAAGAAGCTGCTAAGCATCTGCATCACGACTTCTTGACTCTCAAGACGCTGAAGCAGTCGGCAGCACTTACCTATGCAGCAGGAATGCAGCTCACAGTGAAACTCAAAAGTTTAACAAATCTGGAGTATGCCACTACTGTGGCTAAAAGGGGTAGAGAAAGTCCACAGACCCAAAATCAGAAAGAAAGAGAATGCCCAGCCTATGGTCACATTAATGTTATATGTGGTTAAGTTGCATGCGATGCATGGAGTTGGTATTGTGTGTCAGGAGCTAGAGTAGTCACATGACCTAACATGGCGACGTCCATGGATTCGTTGCGAGCTATCATTCATTCTAGAGTAAGTATTCCAAACTTGGTAAGTTGATGACATAGGAGTGTGATAGCAGTTGAGGCGACAGTTGTACTATGGCAATGGTGTAGTAAAGACCATTAAAGTAAAGAAAAGTGTTTGTTGAGTTTGAGTCAAATCTGGGTTGTCAACAAGTGAGCATAATGCCAGGCCAAGATACAACACTTGCATGCTGTGCAGTCAATCCAATCACTTTGAATCTGTGTGCCGCAGCAGAAAAAAAACAAACTTGGAGACACCTAATAAAACACCAGAAGAACATGGAGGTGCAATCTTTGAAACACTATGTGCAGTCACAAAAATTTGGCTTGCACCCTGCTAAAAGAGCTATCACCCTTACCCACCTCCTGTATGACCAACTGTCTGACACATGGGTTACACAAGCCTCTCATTCTCAGGCTTTTATTAACCTTATGGCAACAACCTCAGGGAAGACTATGACCAACTGGACATCAGACCCATCTTCGCATTTAAACCAAAATCATCTTTCCTTGCCATCACCGCTGGCACTGGCTGCCAGAGTTGTCTCGCTGGCATCAAGATTATATATATATCAACTTGGGCTCCGGAAGCGTGACAATGAAGATGCACGCTGCAAACAACAAGGGCATCACCATCCTCCAATCATCATGTGGTTATCAGGCAAAGACCCCGATAGTAATTCAGTTGAGACCTACCAGTTGGTATACACTACAGACAATTCCGACAAATTCTTCCTTAGCGAAGGAACAGGAACCACAAGTGAAGCTGTTGACTCTACAGAGGAAATCGTGACCAAGTCACGTTGAGAACTGCCTCAGCATAGAATGAGTGTCCAAGACACAAGATACCACCCCCCTTTCCTACTAAATTTCCATATCCTGTAACCGAAGCAAAACAAGCAATTAGAGCAGCACCTACCGATACTTGATTTTTACAAGTACAGTCAACACTTGTGACCACTCCCCTTCATGGAGGCCCTCCAATGAAGCATGGTTGACCCCGATGCTGCATCAGTTGCTCACCACATTTATAAACCTATTCATTGGGATCGCCATTAAGTAAGAGACTTCTTTCTATAGGCATTAAAACCTATTGTGAGGTTTTACTTTCCAGTCGGGTTAAATCTCATAAACAGGGACGTTGTAATGTCCCTGGGATTTTATATAATGTCCTGGGTATTTTATTTATACAACTTCCGTTCAGATTATAACATGTAATGAAATGTAAAATCAAATGACAAATGTTTTCTTTATATTCCCGAGGATCGAACTCGCAACCTTCATATCTGTAGCCCAGTGAGTGTACCACGAGGCTACAGAGGTGTTGATAAACTACACTGGTTTTTAGAATGTCCTTTTCAAGATCCGTACGCCAGCAACAGATATTTTACGCGCGTTTCCTAAGGTTCATGGAAAGTATGTTCGAAACATAAAAATGTTGATAAATGTTTTAAGTTGTTTTTTTCGGTTTATAAGCATGGAAAAACACTTTCCCTCGGTTTTGGTAGACAGAGCATGCCCTGGGGGTCGGGAAAAACCGCGGGGGCTTCGCCCCCTTGGTTTTTCCCTCTCCCCAGGGCATGCTCTGTCTACCAAAACCTCGTGAGCGTGTTTTCTCCAATACATATAAACCTCTGATGACATAAAACAAAAGTAACAGAAGGTTCTTCTAAATGTTGATAAACTTACAAGGCAGGCAATATCAACAATGTAATTCCTGTGTAATGCCCGGTGCGTTCCTGTGTTATGCCCGTGGAATTCTGGTGAAATGCCTGACCCTGATTACATTTCAATTGTAATACTAAGGGTTTACAATTAAAGTTCCGATAACTTGACTCTTGATGTGAACACAATTGTGTTTGATGATTGTTTAAAAGTCACAATTTTTTTTAACATGAAAATTCCATGAAACTTCATATCATGTTAAGTTTTGCAACCCACTGTTTTCCCACTGAACTATCAGGGCAGGTGATGAGAAGTTGTTAAGTTTATCATTTCATGACTCCAGCGAGTTCATACTTGCATGGTTTTTTTTCTCTTGCACACTTTGAGCGAATTCCTTTTATACTGCGATACACAGTATTATTTCACTATATGGTATGTCAATGTTTTCTTATTTTTCTGGGTTTTTTTCTTGCATTTAGTCAGTTCATAAGTTTGATAAAACATGTCTCCTCAGTTTTGGTTGAAAATGTAAAACCTGCTTTACTCTATACATCTGTACCAGTTCCCCTCCACTGGCAAGATGATGTCAAGGCTGGCTTGGATCAAGACGTCAGGCTAGGTGTGATCGAGCCAGTACTGATAGCTGATCCTGTCACATGGTGCCATAGAAGGGTCGTTTGTCCCAAGGAGAACGGCAAACCAAGACGCACTGTTGACATTTCAAGTCTGTATCACATTGCAACAAGAAGACTGTATTTGATGCTTGGAATTGCTACCATAGTGTACAAATTCTGGATGAAGACAAACATCTGACGACATTCATCACACCTATGGAAGATAAAGATATCTCACTGACCCTAAATAATACATTTCCTCAGGAGATGGATACAAACAGCGTTTTGATGAGATTGTTGCTATGTACCTAACAAAACCAAGTGCGTAGATGATGCACTCCTCTGGGCTGTTGACATTGCAGAGTGCTTCTTAAAAGCCTATGGATGGCTTGACATCTGTGTTAGAAATGGCAACATGCTGAACCCTGAGAAGTTTGTCTTTGCTCAGGATACAGTTGAATTTGTAGGCTTTGAGTGAGTGAGTGAGTGAGTGAGTGAGTATGGTTTTACATCGCTTTTAGCAACATTCCAGCAATATCACGGCGGGGGACACCAGAAATGGGCTTCACACATTGTACCCATGTCTGGAATCGAATCTGGGTCTTTGGCGTGACGAGCCAACGCGTTAACCACTAGGCTACCCGACCGCCCTGTAGGCTTTGAGATAATATATGACTGTGTTTGGCCCTGTAAAAAGTACCTCCAAGCCATCCTGGACTTTCCCACACCAAGAAATATTTCAGACATGCAGTCATTGTTTGGCCTAATCAACCATGCCTTCAGATGCCTTCAACATGGCAGAAAGGATGCAACCATACCCTCTGGGACACCTTTACGACGGGATGGTAACTTCAACATTTTGTTTCCAAAATCAAAGGCAGTTATCGTCTGTGAGATTGACGAGGGCATATGAATATTTGACATATGCAAGCTGACATGCCTTGCTACTGACTGGTCAAAAGGTAGAAAAAAGTGGCTATTCCAAAAACATTGCAAATGCCTGAAGACAGCGCCTTACTGTTGTCACGGTGGTTGGAAGATCACTCTGGTTGGCAGCCGATTCACCCATACAGCTGAATCCCGCTACGGCCCTGTGGAAGGAGAGGTGTTGGCAGTTGCTGATACACTGGACAAAGCCAGGTACTTTGTTCTAGGCTGTAACGATCTCACTGCTGTGATGGACCACAAGCCACTGCACAAGATACTTAGAGACCGATCCGTTGAACATATCTTAAATCTCGACTCCAAAACCTAAAGGGAAAAACATTGTACTACAAATTCCAGATGGTTCATGTACCAGGTGCAAAACACTGTGCTGCTGATGCTGTGTCACGCCATTTAACAGGCCATCATGAGAAAATGGTGTTAATAGATGATGTCGCAGCCATTTGCCATGATGGCGACTTGCTTGACCTCAAATCTCAGTCACATGATCCTTGCCTCAATAAGATGCAGCGAGAAGCCTGATGACAGCATTGAGGACTCAGTTATACACTCGTCGTCATCGTCAATCAGCTCCCTCCAGTCATGGGACTGGATAGCAACCGGATAGCTACCAACAGCTACAAGGATATGGTGAAGCTGGTGGAGATGATAGAATCAGGGATGCCAGAATTGCACTATGAGTTACCAGCATCACTTCGCAGTCACCATCAGTCTCATGAACATCTACATATTGATTGGGTTGTCATTTACAAGGATCGAATCGTTATTCCCCCATTACTACGACCAGATGTCCTGACTGCACTCCATTCTGCTCACCAAGGAGGGTCATCGATGATGTCAAGAGCTGAAGCATCCATCTTCTAACCCGGAATCACTCCTGTTATCAGAGCCCTCAAAATTGATTGCAATCACTGGCCCCTCCCAACCTTGTGTTGCACCCACCCCACCAGTCTACCTTGTCTACCCAGTCTACCCATTTTAATGCGTGTTTGTGTGCCGACAACATCAAATTAGTTAAAGTTAAAGAACCCAGATGTTCTACTCTGAGAAAGATTGCCCCCTCCTGGCTTAGTGACTATATCCATGCTATTTTGGCGGAATAACTCCTGGACTGTAGGGCTGTAAATCTGATAAAGATTATCAGACATGAATGTGTTACATGACATTCCTGTCATCCTTCTCTTCCATAGAAATTGAGGATTTGAACATTTATAACATGTGACTTCAAAACACTTGAAAACATTTCAGTTCATATCATGCCCGTCAGGCTTCATCAAATCACAAGTATTTCATAGTTACTATTTCAGGGTTTCTTTTGTGTCTTTGTCATACTATACCAGTTTGACCTTTAATGCCATCCAATGATATGTCACAAAAATACCCAGCCCTCACAAGAGCTATACATCAGGTGTGAAATCTTAACAAGAAAATGTGTAAGCTTTCAGTGGGGAAAAACTGACATATAATTTTTAAACACAGCTGCAGCAAAAACATGAAGCAGCTGGGCATCTGCTTAATAAAACATGTTATTACTTGCCCATGAAGAGATCACCCGTTTAATAAACATACAGCTGTATTACACATTGAGTAATACCAAAATGCGTGCTAATGTACTCTCGGAACATGTTTCACGAACAAATATTGAAAGCTCTTAACATCCCTTGGCTTATTCAACGACATTGCATGTGGAGATGATAGATCACTGAGAGGAGCTTATGTAAACTCGATGACCCCTGCAACCTTGTTGCTAGGCTGATGTCACATGACATTGTTTCGCCGATGGATCTTGCAACACAATTCCAAAAATTTCGTCATCGGGTATTGTGACGTTATTGTAAACTTTGAGGTGCAAGGCCCCGTTCCACAAGGCGATGAAACTCGTGAATAGTTGTGGTATCTGACTCGCGTTCCCTCGTCAGATACCAGAACTATTCACTCGTTTCATAAAATTGGTATTACACAGGGGCGAATTTAGTATTCTATACACATGACGCTCAACTACTATCTGAAGCTTACTCACAACAAAGCTTACAGACTGACAAGAAAGATCTCAGTCAGTTTCTTAGTATATATATGAGCTTCTGCACTAACCAATATTCTTCTGAGGAGTCCCATTGCAGTTGGGTGTCCTGTGACCCACAGACCTACCAGGTGGCGACTCAGCTGTCTGCAACAGGAAAACATTAGATATAACTGACAGATTATTGATGTTGTATAGTCTTAGTTGTTGGTGAGGACAACATAATTAAAACTGTTGCGTTACAATGATGCACAATCAGTCCTTTGTCTCCACTTTGTAATTTGCAACAACAGTAACACAGGAACAAACATACAAAACCAGAGTAACAGAGGGAGAGAAGCACATAGTTGATGAATTTATCATTTTTTTATTCTCCTAAATTTTCCACTAGAATGCTAAATGTTTTTTCATACCTCCTGATAATATAGACCCCTAATTCTGGGCGGATGTCATGCAAGTAAAAGTAGGGAAGAGCACTGCATGTCAGTAACTTTTGGAGATAGTGGTTTTCACCCCCTGGATACAAGAAGGACATGTCCCTCCTCTTTAACCCTCACTCAAATAAAATTCAAAATAAATCATGCACACAAATAGACTTCAGAATTTTTAATTCTGTGGGAACTTCCCTGTTCTGTGATATCATCCACTGTCATTTTAAGCAAAGCAAAATTAGTGAAATTGACTTCTGAAAACTAGGCACATCATAAGTCTTGCCATTTTTGACACATACTAAATCATCATTCACAGCGTTATTTACAGGACCCTGGTATGTTTTGAAATCTAAATTTTGAATATTTACTAGGATAGATTGGCTTTAAAAAATGGCATATTAGTGATCATTGGTATCTGTCTTTTTATTTACTCATTAGTGATCAATCTAAAACGTCGCCAATGACCCGAGAATCGAAAATATGCAAACACAAACGCCGAAGTGAACTTCCAGCCATAATGGGATAGTGTTTATAAAAAATGGCGGTTATGAGTTGCCTCTTACATCACATATGTTTTACACTCAGCTGCAATAAATACCCGGTACATCTCTGAATTCCTCATACATTTTATTATTTAATGACAAATTGTCTTTGTCAACAATACAAAGTGTCTAGATGAAATAATGCGAAATAAATTAGGTGTGAAAACAAATGCTGTGCTTGGAAAACTGCACTTGTCATAAATGTAAACAAAGCAAAGTTCAAATTTTGAGATATCCATTTATCTATTTGTTACATATATTTGCTCAATATTTTCAGAATATGCATGGGAAGAGAATGGTAGCAAGAAATAGGGAATGACAAATCATGCACATGCAATGACAACTGGACTTCTGACTTTTTTCTTGTTACAATGAAAAACAAGTAACAATGTCAGATTGTCAGAATGTTTCTGATAACTTACCCGGTACATGACATATTCATGTATATACGATCCCTGAATATATGAAAGTCCCCTCGAAAATTACGGCATACTGATGTTCATGAATATGCCATTTTGCAAACGTTGGTTTCCAGTAGTGAAGTCATTCGTCAACATTGTTGTACATATTTGGTATTTTCTTTGAGGTGAAGGTCGGTGAATGAGAGTTCACACGATCATTGTATCCTGCTGCCTACTGTTTCAACATTATGATGTATATTTTGTGTCTCTTTTACATATTTTTCACACAATTAATTTCACTATGGATATATATCAATATTCAATATGATATCATACATAGGTATAGGCCACACAATTTATGAACCTGTTTACATAAGAAATTGAGATGTTTATAGTGTTGTATCCGATAATTCTTTCCTTTAGACAAGTGTTAAAAGATGAAATGTAAATGTCACATGTACATATTTCCTTTTGGGTGTAATATTAAAGAGAGAGAGAGAGAGAGATTGTAGTTGGTGTTTTTACAGGCCATTTACTGGTTTTTCCAAGGAAATTTTGGGGAAATTTGGAATTTTGAAGAATGACGTGCTATAGGTGGGGGAACTAAGGTAGTTTGGATAGTGGAAATATCAAATTGAATATATATATACACAAACACAGTATATTGAGCAGCAGTTGTAACAAGAACATAACAATATCATTAAAGAATAGGTTTACACAATAGGGATCCGGTGAGTTATGATGGACACTGCTGGGGTCAAGAATTCTACGCACTCGTATCAACCTATAGGCATCATTGACCACTCCAATCAGTGAACTGTTGTTAGTTCAAGTATTTTATTGCCTTTGAACTTCCTTAATGCCAGTCAGCAAAATAAACATATAAACTGAGTGTTTAAGGTAAGGATAAACAATTCACTAAATAAAAAAACTAAACTCCATCCAATATCAAGCCCTAAAACTCCTCACCCGAAAGCAACAAGGTACCTCTCTCACATCACTCAAGGCTCTAACAGGAGAAACCCCACGTGAATTACGTAGGGAGCAACTTACCCTAAACTCCTGGCCAGCCACCCAATCAAACCCCATAATCGAAAACACCCTTAAAAGTAACATCAGCCCTAAAAACCAAACATTAGCAAAAAAATACCCCCTCCTCACCCCAATCTCACAAAGAATTACTCATTATCTAAAAGAGCACCAACTCTGTTATGTTAGTTATTCCTTCAAAATCAGGACGGACGCAGGAGTGTGTTTGAGACATGTTTATTTGTGAGTGCTACATCATGACAACTGTGGTTGTCTCCCTTTGTGCAAACCACTACATCTCCCCTTCCAGGAGAAGGCAAGTTAACAATACTGTTAACTTTCAACTGTGCCTTGACAATGAAACATTATAATGCATATAAACAAAACAAATCAAGATTCACTCACACAACATTGTGAACACAGCTTTAGCATACCCATGACCTCAGGGTTACAGAATAATAAATCTCTCAGCCATACACAATGGATACTGACTCACTTGTCAAACTTTAAATGAGAGAAAGTCTAGCTTAGTATCTATCTGGCTTTCTTGAGACTCTGCCAGATCGTTTTATGTAAACTGAGGAGTCATTTGTTTGTTTTAGACATGGATGAGGATTTGGTTCAGGTGAGTGTTCTTTTTCAGGCACATTCGGAACTTGCTTTTCAGGAACATTTGGTAACAAGTTAATGTCACGTCTATTCCGCCTATAGGTTCCATCGTCAGTCTTTATGAGGTAAGACCGAGGACTTAGCTGTTTGAGCTCAGTACCTGTTTCTTTCCTGTCTGGTACCCATGCATTATCTCCCCTTTGCAAAACAGTAAGTGAGCTCACAGCATGGCGACGATTGAAGTTATATTCCTGCTTTTGCTGTTGATGTTTCTCAAAGTTTACAAACTTTTGTTTCACAGGTGGATGAACTTCAAGTTTCTTTTTCATGATTGGCAGTTTTGTGCGCAGTTTCCTTGACATCAGCAGTTCAGCTGGGCTGTAACCACAACTGAGTGGGGTTGATCAGTAGCTGAGAAGAGCTGAATACGGATCTTCTGCTGAATGTAACAGAGTCTTTATAGTGCGCACAGCGCGTTCAGCTTCTCCATTCCCAGATGCATGTCCAGGACTGCTGGTAACATGAGAGAAACCATAGTCTCGACTGAAGTTGTCAAACTCTGAAGAACTGTACTGAGGACCATTGTCAGAAACTAGAGTCTCTGGCACACCATGTCTTGCAAAGATACTTTTAAGCGAGTTGATTACTTCTTTTGAAGATGTACTTGACAGTCGGACAATTTCTATGAAACGGGAGTAATAGTCCACCACGAGAACATACTGGTTCTTTTTAAACTCAAAGAGATCGGAGGCAACTTTTTGCCAAGGTCTTTCAGGAGTTTCAGAAGTTATCAATGGTTCAGGGTGGTTGTCCATTTTCTTACAGCACACATGACACTTTGACACAAGTTCAGCAATCTGTTTGCTTAAATTTGGCCACCAAACACATTGCTTTGCACGTTCACGAGTCTTTGTGATGCCTTGATGTCCATCATGAAGCTTTTCAAGGATGGTTGGCCTTAGTGTTTCAGGAATCACAAGCCTTTCACCACAGAGCAAGAGATCATCTTGAATGGTAAGTTCAGCTTGATAAGGCCAGTAGTGTTTAGCAATGCCTTTGATCATGTGTTTTTCAGGCCATCCTTCCAGACAATATCGAGTGATCTCCCTGCAGATGTCATCCTCTTTCTGATGAAGTCTGATTTCTTCCAGTCTCCGATCTGAAGCTGGAAAAGAGGGGGAGAATGTGTTCAACATACACTTGTCCATCTGCTTCAAGAGTCTTGTCTGAACTAGATTGAGATGCTACTGGAGCTCGAGATAGAGCATCAGCTGTATAGAGATCACGACCAGGCACATGTTCAACGGTATATTAGTCTCATCCTGAATCTTTGGATCCTTGGAGGGAGTTGATCAAGATCCTTCAGACCTAGCAGAGGGACGAGAGGTTTGTGATCTGTTTCGAGAAGAAAGTCTATACCAACAAGAAAGTCCTGAAATCGTTCCCACGCCCAAGTCAGATTCGGCTTCAGAGAGGGACCTTGATGCATATAAGACTGGTCTCCAGCCACTTGTGGTCTTCTGAGTGAGGACTGCACCAAGACCAAACGAAGATGCATCAGCTGTAACCTTGGTTGGTAAGTTCGGATTGAAGAGTGCTACTGAGGGCTTGCTTGATGCGAGTGAATGATTATTGTTGAGGCTTATCCCATGTCCAAACAGATTTCTTGTTGAGAAGATCTCTGAGTGGCTTTGTCATATCAGCTAGATTGACGACAAACTTTCCAAGTTGATTGACCATTCCAAGAAAGCGCCTGACATCGCCTACATTCTTAGGTTCTGGCATGTCTTTGATTGCTGAGACTTGTCCTCACTGACTTCGATTCCCTTGGCACTCACAGTTTGTCCTAGGAACTGGATCTGTGGCTTTCCAAATTCACACTTATCCTGGTTGAGTGTGATGCCAGCTTCACGAAAAGCTGTCAGAGTGTCCTTTAAATGTTTATCATGCTCCTCTCCAGAAGCACCATATATTATCACATCATCCATGATGCCAGCTGTTCCATCCAAACCATCAAGAGTTTTCATCACTTGCTTCTGGTAGTATTCTGGAGCGGAAGTTATTCCGAATGGGAGTCTTTTATAGCAATATCTCCCGAAGGGAGTCATGAAGGTTGTCAACAGTGCGGATCTCTC